GGGGGGGGGGGGGGTTTCTGGAGAAGCTTGATGCAGGTGAAATGAGTTGCAGGTGTGCAACCTGAAAGTGGGTCAGCTCCGCCCCATCACCACACACACTTCCACTAAAAGAGAAAAAGGGAGAAGGGGGGAAAACAAACACAAGCCAACACATGACCCAAGACAACCCAAACCAAGACAACAGCAGTGTTTTGAATTGATCTGATCAATCTGTAAGGTTATTTTGTAGTTCATTTGATGTCTTTAATCTGTGTACATAGTTTTGATTATAGAATTTGGTTTTGACATATGCCACTTGTGAAGATGAGTGTGCAGTCACATTTTTGTGTTTAGAATTTTGGGAATTAGAGCACAATTTCATGATGTGTAGAGGCTGAGTACGTGAACTGGAACCCAAAAGCACAACTCAGAATACAGTGTCTGGTTTCCAAAAACAGTAGTTGGTTATTCGAAAAAGGTTTGATACACAGAAGGAAAGAGAAAGGGCAGAGGTATCCAAAACGTGAGGCTAAGGCTAGGTCGAACATGATCAAAAACACAAGAGAACACTAGACGTGGATATAATGCTTGAATTCTATGTACAAGACAAGACGAACTGGCACAGGACCATATATACTAACTGAAGCGCAGTAAACAAGATGCAGGTGAAACATATTAGGGAAGGGAAGGTAATCAGTGAGACACAAGAGGGCAGGCTTGAAGTAGACTAAAGGAAACAGAGACAAGTGTGAGTGTCAAAGTAGAACAGGAAGTGACATGTAAAATGAAACAGGAAATACTGTGTGTGTGTGTAACCATGACATGATGTGTCAATGAGTTTTTGCCTAACACCAAATCGGCAATTACACATCTCTTGTCAAAGCAAACAATTCATACATTTGGATAAGTACACAAAGCAGCCACTACACCCTTTTTGGTGTGCAGGCTATAGCAGTTAGTTAAAATAACATTTTGTCAAACAAGTTGTAAGCCCACAGACACACAGGTATCCAAATGTAATATGTATGAATAAGTATTCTGAAGGTACTCTTAAGTAAATGTAGCTTGAAAGAATTGTAGTGTGAAGGAAGTAACCTCACTAGACCAGGAGCCCATCCGACTGAACTTTTTATCACTGAGTGACATCTTTTTAGACATCATAGTTGTCTGTGGATGATACTGAAATAGATAGACATTTTACATTCAATAGTGATGTTCATATTTTTCTGGCAGGGTCTTTAATATGTTTCTATACTTCACAGGCAAACAGGAAGCATTCATGAGTATGACAAATTTGTGGCAAACAAAATCTGGAGCATGGAGAGCAGCAAATGTAAACAAAGATCACCAATTAACATTATCACCAGTTAAACGGGAATAAGAGCTTACACAACCATAAGAACAATGGATAACCCCATCTCAACTTGTATCTTTCATCAACTTAGTTAATCGTGTGTAACCTAACAACAAACAATTTAAAAACACACTGTGCACTGTGTAGAAAACATTAGACCTTGAAGTGCATTATTGCTTATGTGTGTAGGAGGGCTGTGTACTACATGCTCATGGGTGTGTTAGGAGTGTGCATCAATTTCACAACAAAGTATATATGCATTGAGTGTTCCTTACATCTGAGACTGGGGTAAGATTAGGAAGGAATTGTCATGTTTTTCAGATTTGCATTAGATTCATGATTAATTAATTCTGACCTCCTAACTATAGCTGACCTCCATCACAAGGACCAGGAAATGCTTGAGCTCCTGCAAGAGAGGGTTACAGTATTCTGTGAGCTGGCAGAGGTGTCAAGTGGTCAGGAGGGCCTACAACCTCCCATCACACGTTACCTATTCAGGGCAGACACACCCCAAGCTCCCCGTGCAGAGAAACTCCTACTGGATGCTACAGCTGAAGGTAACACACCAAGTTTCTGGTCAACAACAAATTATTATTTTCTGTCTGTTTGCAAAGAAGGTGTTCACATCAAAGCCCAACTGGACAGGACAAAATATAATAACTGTGCCAGTTTCCAAGAACAACGGTATCAAAGTTAAAAATGTTGTAAGTCATTGTTGACAGTTTTTATTCTGTCATGACTCACTTGAAAGGAAACCTGCATTTTCAAAAAATATATATTTGTATCCACATTTTTAAATTGAAGCTTAACATTTGGAATTAACCCTAATTTATATTGTCAAGTTATTTGCTTTTTATGTGCAACCATAGAACAGAGAAGTAGTTGTAACTTGCCTGCTGCTGATGCTCTGCTAGAGTCTGGTTGGATGAACTGGTGCTTATATATTGCTTAGTGTTATAGTTTCCATTGGAGAATGCAGCTTGCATGTGCAAATCACCAGCAAAACAGCTGGTGACAGTAGTAGCTGTCATCGTACTCTGAAATTAGGCTAGTCCTAATTATTTTCCATGACTTTAACGCAAAATAAAAATGTGAAAACATTCTAGAGAATGAACATCAGTTTGCCTAAAACAATTTCTCAGTTGTCACAAGAACAAGCCAAATTTAGTTTAAACAATAGTTAAGTATATACAATTAAATTTAATTCTGCAGTGTTCTCTGCCCCTTTAAATGCCAGGGGAATGTCTGCTGAAGGTATTGAAACCACAATAATTTCCAAGCAGTCTCAGTTAGGTTATTTGGCCGATACCAAGGTTAGATAGTTTTATGTTTTATATTGACCTAACTAATGGAGCTGAAATCATTTTAGCCAAACAGGTTAGATGTGAAACATGCACTCACAGCCCTATGACAAGCAACCTGACAATATGCAAAATGGATGGATGAGTCAGTAATTGTAATGATACAAAAGCAGTGGCAGGTTCCAGCATTATTTTACAACCTTCTAGATAGGCAAGGTGTCCCTCATGCCATTACACACAAATATATACTCATGAGCAAAAAAGGTAACCTGTACATGAGTCTACCACTTTAATGTAGACTGAAATATTTCATCAACTGCTATTTTGGATGAATTAAGCTTCAGACATTAATGGTCAACACTAGATGAATCCAATTGACTTTTAAGTCAAAATTTCAAATATATTAAACATGTATTCTTTGCCCAGGATTGTTTCCTTTGCTTCCAACAAATGTTGTTCTGTTAATATTGATTTAGAAGGTATTGAGTGGTGTGAGAGAAGTAATGCCACCTAAAGGGCTGTTTGTATGTGTGTGTGTGCGTGCATGCATGCTTGTGTTTCCACAGTGGACAAGTTGAGTGAAGTCCTTCTGGGCTCCAGTGTGGACATCCCTCTTCTATGCCATCACAACTGCAACGTGATAGAAGCCAGTGAGTCCCACATATTTTCTCATACAACACAGGAGATAAGATGACAATATGTCCCCTCAGCATCCAATATGTAAATTTCCATTTTAACCTTTAAATCATATATTGTTGTGCCATGGTCCTTGCTGGTAATATTTGGTATGTATGTATTTTAGTGACCGTTTTGTTTTTCCATGACTAGTAAGTTGACTGCTGTGTCTGTCTCTGCTCAGGTAATCAGGATCTGTTGGTCAATGGAGCCCATGATTTCTGTGCAGGAAAGGTGAGCTGAGGGACAAGATAAATCTTTCAGCTTCTTGTTGGGTCTTGGGTTGAATACATTATTTTTTCACCATAGCAACTGTTGTAGTATTACAGTCTTACAATACAGTTATCTTAATGCCATGATAACATTTAAGGTTTGATTTTGCTACATCAAATGTGGATTTACTTAAAAAATATGAAAAATTGATTATTTTTCTTAGAAACATCTGAAAATCATGATCACATAGGAATTCCAGGTAATGTTTAGATCTCAAATTTCCAGTTGTTCCTAAGTTTTCCAATTGAGATATGTAAAATCTTACTGATTTACGAATATACTATTACTAACTCAAGGTTGTTTATGGTTGTATTATGTTTCATCATTATCATGTCACTTTGTAGAAAATGTATTATCATTCAAAGGTTTGCACAAGGACCTTAAGACAAGCCACCAACCATGGTTAGCGGTTAAAGGTTTATAAAGTAGACATATTTATAATATATATTCAGGTTCATGATCTAAATTTTGGTTATTACTGGAAAAAGTTTACATACCCTAATGTTCAGAAAAACTTCCCTTCCCTCATATTGTTCTTTACTGCCTCTGTCTGAAGTGCTTGGTTTTAGCTCCTGCAGGCCCCCTTCCTAAAAAATTTAAGAAATGTCAGCCTCTGCTGCTGCTTTACATTACTTTGATAGGGGTTATGCCAGACTAGCCATCAAGGGTGCATTATGATATTGTGGGGTATAATTATGTCATGTGATATAATGGTGTGGAGGTATGTGCTACTGACAAGGATTATTGGGAGTTTCAAGAGCAGTATTTACTGTAGGGGAAAGAAGCTCCCTTTACTGCAGACTATGGGCTTTTTAACTTAGCAGACCTTTTACATACCCAAAAAACCTATATGACACTAAAGGAACGATTAACTGAAAAAGCATAACATGTGTCCTCAAAATGTTTGACTTAGTGTGCTTGTGTGTATGAAGCATGAAAAGGGTCAAGGAGAAGGAGACACATATACATACATGTTGTCATTTACTCAAAGTCTGATTAAATTCAATTCAGTTTTATTTCAGTAGTGGGAACACTTGAGCAACATCAGGTATCAGTTCTGACTAGTTAAAATATAAACAATAACAGTGTTCAGAAGTTAGATTATTATTGAAAACAGTAACAATTCATATGATAATTAATTACTGAGATATTGTTGTTAATAATAATAATAATAACAATAGTTGTTGTCCTGCAGTTGGAGTCAGAGATATCTGCAATGAGAGAGAGAAAGAGAAAGTGG